AAAGAAAGAAAAAAAAGAAACATAGCATGCTATTAGGAAAAAGAAGGGAAAGTTTTCTTCTAAGCCATTTTATTATTAATAAAAAGTCACTGAGTTTTGACATGAAACTTTTTCAATACCTGTATATTTGGCAGAAAGGTACAAAAACCAGGAATGTCACTCTTAAGGGAAAATAAAAGCAAAATACAATAGAGGGGTTATTGTCTAGCTACACACCACAGTGAATAAAAATCCACCTATTTATCTGTGCCTTACTTCTTTCATCTGTGAGTCCCGCAAAAGATGAATACAGATGCAGACAGTTGTTTCCTTCCTACTTAGTGGAGAATCTTAGCAGCATGACTAACTGATGTCAATAGGGTATTTTGAAATCTATAGCAGAAAAGGGGAAAAAGCACATTATATCACTGATCCTTTTGTCAACAATGTGCTTCAGGAAAACTAACATTAAAAGCTATTATACTACCATGTGTGTCAGGGGTAGGAAAAGAGAACTCTTATTTGTCCCATTTTACACGAACAAGTTGGAATTCTATGAAACTCTCACACCTTTGAAAATGGGAGCATTAATCATGATTGGCCAACTTGAACGGATTAAGACATGCATAGCCTATCAGTAAAACACAATTGTGGGTGTGTCTGTGGATGATTGACAGGTAGGCCAGTAAACTGATTGGGGAACCCCACTTGTGGGTGGTGCGAATTTGTAGCTCGGGTGGAATCAAAAGGAAAAGAGGAAGACAGTCTGCCCCATTTGGAGGGCTCCAGTCTTCCTGAGCAAGTCAGTCCTTTGCCGATGTCACCTTTACACATCGGACTCTAGAACTCCAGTTTCTTCAGCCTTCCAATGCAGACTTGCACTGGGAAACCTCCAGTGAGCTTCGAGGCCTTAGACTATTGACTGGTGCTGCATCCTTGATCCCTTCTATCCTGCCGCTTCCGTTGTGTTTTCTGAGCAACCACTGGATCCTCTGGTTCTCCAGTGAGCATTGACAGTCATTGTGAACTCTCCTGCTTCAAATCCTGCAAGCCAACCTAATTATACCTGTATTTCCTACTGATTCTGTTTTCCTAAAGAACTCTAACACAGAAATTTTAAATCCCCTATAGAATCCCTTATACTATTATTTCCTTAACTTAAACATATAAAAAATTTTTCAGTATAGATGAAGTTATGAAAAGACACTTCAGCATAAAGAAACACTGGGCCTTATGCAGTTTAGATCTGGAATAACCCCAGAGTCTCACATGTTGAAGGTGGTGGCCCTAGCGGGAGGTGGAGGAATCTTTAGGAGGTGTGTCATAGTTGAAGTGGCGGGACAGTAGGGACATGCCTTTGAAGGGTGTTGATGTCTCTGGACATTCCTTCTTTTTCTTTCTTCCCTCCCTGCAATGAAGTGAGCAGTTTTGCTCCTTTATGCTCTTGCAACATGATATGCTGCCTCATCATGGCTCCAAAGTGAGAGGCCAAGCTATCATGGACTGACCCCCTCTGAAACCATGAACCAAAATGAATCTTTCCTCCTTTAAATTGTTTTTCTCAGTTATTTTGTCACAGCAATGGAAAGCTGACTAACACTTTGAGTTTGGTTCTGGAGGTTCAACAGATCATTCAGAGCACTGTGGCATTGGCAAGGACTTTGGATTTGCTTTAAGTGTAGCCGAAGCAAGTAAATCCATCAAGGGATTTGGGGAAGAGTTGATGAAGAAGGTAAAATTTAACTGGACTGTATGGACAGAATTTACTGTGTATAGGCTATTGGTCAAGGTCTGACCAAACAGATGGGAGTAGTTGCAAAAATTCAGAGTTATCAAAGAATGCAGAATGGATGGCAGATTGTTTGTTGTGCTCGAGTTTAGGATTAGGGCATATCAGGCAGTAATAGTTAAAGAAGAGTCTGTTGTTCTTTGGGATGGATCCTTTATCATTCATGACCCCACATTAATTTTTCTGGGTTCTTTTTAGGCACAGTTTCTCAACAGCATATGTATTTATTTCCCTTATACTATTTAACCAATTTCATAGCTTATCTACATGCCTAATTATGAGGTGATTAATTTGACATGGCCATAAACCATTGAAGGATAATTATTTATACTACCTTCAGGGGCTTTATACCTGCATATTTATAGGAGGCTCTCTTTTGTTTAATATTTTAGCAGTTCTTATAAACTAGTCACAATGAAGAAGTGGTATACTTAATTTTAGTAGATATTACAAATTAGTCAAACAAAGAAGTGGTAGACTTGAAAGTCCTCCTAATGTGGATAGAATATAAAGTTAAAGAGGTCACAGAGAAGTGCATTTTCCTTGCTTCTGAGCCATAAATAATAACCTGATCTAGAGTTAGCTGGCTTATAAAGACAGACCTTTCATCAGAAAGGATTGTATGCCAACACACTTGCGAATTACCAAGTCACAGAATTCCAGGATTGACAACAAATCAATGAATATTACTGAGTGCTTGATATTTGCCAGACTTTGCTCCAAGAGAGAGAGTTAGTGGAGTGAGTGAAACAAAGTCCTACCTCTCAAAGGCATAGGGTTTAGAGGATAGACTGCCAAGATGAACAACATATACATATACATAAAATGAAAACAGAGAGTAGAGTGTGAGGAAAGATATTGATCTTATGTTAAAATCAAGACCTGGGAACTCCTCCTTAGTGAAGTAACATTTCAGGGAAGTCCTGAAGTTTGGAAACACAACAAACAGCAAGAGCTAAGGTTATGGACTGTGGAATGTTGGATGTGTTTGGCAAGAGCAAGGAGGTTCCAGTGACTGGAGCAGCCTCAGGTAGAAGAGGAATCAGAGTCAGGAGAACCACAGCCTGGTCCAGGTCAGACAGAAACACATGGGCCTTAGTAAGGACTTTGGATGTACTGTGAGAGAGGATCTCAGAGGATTATAAGCAAGAAAAGGCACGATCTGTTTTATATTTGAAAATGATCACTCTGGCCAATATGGAGGGAAGAGACCCTAGGAGACGGGGGTGGAGGAGAGGCAGGAGGCTATTACAACAATTCAGAGAGATTAAGGTGGTTTTGTCCAGGGTGAGCGCAATGGTGATGTGTAGGAGTGGAAAGAAGGATTGTTTGTGAATCTATTTTAAAGTTGCAAGAAATGGAGAGTAGGATTTTGGTCTGTTTGATTCTCTTCTGTACACCCACATTGAATACTTAATAAATATTTTGTAAAAATTTGAGTCAAGTGCATGGGTGGAGCATTAGATTTGAGGAGTGAGAGAAAAAAGAGGAGTTCAGGATGGCCCTAGCACTACCTTGTGGTCACCTGCTCCACTCCATTGAGGAGAAGGAAATGTTTGCATTTATTGAGCACTTATGCTGTGCCAAGCATTGTGCAGTTGCTTTATTTAGAAAAATTCAGCTTCCCAACCCTGCTAAACTGCAGTCACTCACTCCCCACCTCCTTCCTCAGAGCCCAAGGCTCTTCCCGTGCAAGGAGGCTGGAGGATCCTAGGCAAAGGAGGAGGAAGAATTTCTGGGGAACTCCACTCTCAGAGCACGCTGTCTTGCACCCCGTGTCCCTACCTCCTCACTGCCTGAAGTCACAAAGAGCCTGAAGCTCTCTCTCTAAATCATCCCTTTTCTCTAACCCTCTACTTCTGTTCACACTACTGTTTCTGCAAATAGTCTTCCTTTATGGTGAGTTTTTCCCGTTTTGCTCCTGTGGTGTTTGTCATACTGAGTTGGCAGCTGCTGCCCCTCCCACTGTATGTTTTTGCAAGGAGTGTTGAGGATCACTGAGGTGGGAGGTGTGTCAGAGCGAGGGAGGATTGTCCTCAACCATCACGAGCCAAGCTGTAACTGCCAAGTAGTGACGGTCTGGAGGATCATGACAGCAAGGAACGATTGTGACACTGAAATCCAAGAAAACTTAGATGGGGGCAAGGATTTGACAAGGACAATCAGGGGGGAGTAGGACTTTAGACCAGGGGACGGGGGGATAAGGGAGAGAGGATGGAGTGCGTCTTAAGCGGTGAGGTAGCACAGGGACAGGGGTGCGTCACTTTCGTGGCTGTGAAGGGTGACGCTAGAGAGAACAGCACTGTAAGGCTCAGAGCACTGCACGCAGGTGCCGACTGATGAATGAAACTCACTGAGGACCAAGACGTTCAAGTTTGAGAAAATGATCCTTAGCAAACACTCTGGCTTCCAAATGAGGAATTTAAAATGCGCGTTACTCTCTAACTGTCCTCACTGTCACAAACCAAGAGTTTAATGAGCAAAGCCTGTCTAGAACACTTTGTGTAGTTTGTAGTCACTTAATTGGCCAGATTTTCAAGTCATACAGTGACAGGGCCGGGGATGTAGCTCAGTGTTCACCGCCTGCCTCATATCACACAGTGACAGAAAATCACACGTATGCTAAGGAATTGCCACTCTTTAAAAAAGAAAAGCAACTCCCTTAAACTGAAAAATAACTGAGGTATTTAAATATTAACAAGCATCAAATCAGAAGGCAAAGCTAGTTAGCCATAAGCATCGGCAGTTCAACACTCAGAAGAGCTGCAGGTTGAGCTTCCAAGCAGACTGATTTTTTTTTTTAATCTGTTGCTTATCATTTATGCGCAGGGTGTCCTTCTCTAACCCTATTCTTGCTCATTTGCTTTCTCTCTGCTTTAGCGGCAGACAGTCTGAGCTGAGTTGTAAAGCCTTAGTGTGCTTCTGCGGTAGGAGCTGTCCTTTTACGCGGATGAGCTGTGCCGGAACCTCGCTGTAGGTGCTCCAGTCCCCGGGGCCCAGCTGATGTGACACCTGGCTGCACGTGGAGCGGACACTGCGATTTCATCATTCGTCCCTCTCACGGCTCAGTGTGGTTTCTCCCTCTCCTCCCGATCCCGCCTGCAGTACTCTATATTTTGGTTCATTTTTTTCCCCTGTGGGACTTGGAAATAAAAGTCAACACTCTTTGTTCCATTGTTCCCTGTCATTTCTTCCTTTGTGGTGCTGTACTTCAGGTTTTGTTTCCCGTTCCATGGGTGCCACACCTCCTTCCGAAGGTCAGTAAGCCTGCCAATCAGAGCACTCAGTTTAAAGATGGCCAACAAAATTTTGTGTGATTTTGTCTCGCATATGTGTGAGTGTGTGTGTGTGTGTGTGTGTGTGTGTGTATGCATGCGCGCATTACTGAGGATTGAACAAAGGGCCTACACACTGAGCTCGAGCCCTAGCCCTCTTCTATTTTTTTATTTGATACCAGACATAGCTAAATGGCCCATGTTGGGCTCAAACTTGCCATCCTCCTGCCTCAGCCTCTCAGAGAGCTGGTATTACAGGTGTGTACCACCTTAATTTGTCTCTTTTATCAACTTGATGGAGAACAGAAACAAGATCCTCTATCTACTATAACTTCAATGCCTGCCCCACAGGAAGTACTCAACAAACTCTTCTAGCTGAAGTTTGTGCCTCAGGAGTGAGAGGACCTGGATTTTCTTGGCTCCTTTTCATTCTCTTATCTTGGGATACGGTCACAGCATTTCACCTTTTCCAACTATTTCCTGATACATTACAAAGAATAATTATTTCCTCTTCCAATTATTATATTGCAATAATCCTAATAAAATGCTTCAAATAATGTAGAATATACATACATAGGGTAGTGCATTCACTCCAATGTTTGCTGCCCAAAACAATAGGGAGGCTGTACTCCAGCCAGTTGGTTTTTGCTTAGGGTGATTCTGACCCCAGCAGCCCCTTGACCATGCCTGGAAGTGTGTCTGGCTGTCCTGTCTGACTGTGGGCAGGGGAGGGCTGGCTACTGGGCCAGTGATGCTGCTGTCTATCACACAGAAAATTCTCACACCATGAAGAACTGCCAAAAATGTTGAGCGTGAACAGCTCTAGTTCAAATTTTAAAATGTATGGTAGGGAAAATGTTTTCATTGATATATTTGCCACTAAGCAATTATCTGAGTTTTAGCTTTTGGGTATATAGATAAGGACATCGTATTAATTTTGTAAATGTTTCTGGAATATCTCGCTGTCTTTTATAATAACATTCACTTACTCCTTGCTTAGTATTTAGAAATAGTACACTGCATATAGTAGAGGCTTCTGGTTTCCTTTCCTTCTAGGCACACAGAGAGATTATACTCCCCCATCTTGCATATATGTAGCAGGTTTCATGGCACTAACCAAGGCCTTGAGAATAGAAGCACAAAGTTTTAGTTCCAAGTCAAAGCATTTAAGGGCTGTTGTGACCTGGCCAGTCCTCCTGTGCCCTCATGTAGTGATCACAGAAGGAACAGTTGAGGTGGTGAAACCACAACATGAAAGCAACCTGAATTCAAGAGCAACATATAGTACACAGCTACCTAGAGCTGCCCAAATCCACATAGGACTTTACATGACCAACAGTAAGGCTTTCCAGGTTAGAGTAGTATGGTTTGAGGGTTGATTGATAGTGACAATTCAATATAGATTCCTCTGACTACTCTTCCATGTGAAAGGGAGAATCATACTGTGTGCATTGAGCTCTTCAAACTGAAATTGACAATTCCTGGGAGAGAACAAGTGCTTAAAAAGATTTTTAATACCTAACTGGAGTAAAAGGGAAATGGAAACATCTGGTTTTTCTGGGTATTTCTATCCACTTATGACAAACAAGCTGGGTTTGTCTTCATGTTCTTATTTTCCAAACTCAAAGCTTTACAGTCTGGAAATTTTGACAAAGGCATTTGTGATATATATAACACATCAACCACTAACATATAATCAAACCATGTGTAGCAAATCTTGAAACCCACTTCATCTTCTGGTGACCCACAGTGCAATAACCAGATACACTGAAAAATCCGCAGTGGACACACACTTGGTGTTCTTTGGCTGCAAGGAAACTCCTAGATAAATTAGAAGTGAATGGCGGAACATTGTCTGACACAGTTGAACAGACCTGAATTTGCAAAGCTTGACCTCTTGAGGCTGAACAGTTCTAGTCCATAAATTGTTATAGCCAGATAATAAATAGATAGTAGTCTCCTTGCCCCTTAAAGCTTCGGACTGATGACTCCTAGGCTCTGCAGCACTGCAGAGTGGGAAGTGACAGGGACCATGGAACCAGATGTCTGGGACCTGCTGCCTGCTATCTGGGTCATCATGGGCCTCTTTCTTCTCATCCATAAAATATAGAGAGTAAATTACCCATATTAAAAGGCTGCTTACTTCATGGTGTTGACACATGTGTCGGGCATAAGATAATACTAGGTTCACAGCAAGTGTTCAAATAAGGGACCCAGGGGAGGAACTAGTATCTACGATAATTTCCTTACGGTGCTATTCACATTAATGGGACAAGCAGTTGCTATTCTTAAAGGGGCTATAAATACTTTGCCAATTAATTGTTCAAAATGTATTTAAAACAGATAAATCTGGTAGTTTAAAAACATGATTATAAAAAAATGACTACAACCCACATTGAAACACATCTTACAAGGCATATGGTTCTCCGTAGAAGTCTCTAGGAAACAGGGGAGATGTTCCCACAAAGACATGGGAAGTTAAGAAGTCCAAATAGTTATGTCTTCCCAAATTATGTTCTTGAATGGTTAGGGAGAAAAAGGATATTTGTTAAATATTCTTTCTCTCATGATGTTTTTAGTTTTTTAAAAAATTTCCAGGCACTTGAATAAACATTGTAATGATTAATTTAGATTTGAATATCATATTGCACATAAAGAGAGGTAAGCTGTTTAAAAATAGTTTTTAGTGGATCTCAAAATATCATTCAATTCAATATATTATAAATTCAATACATTGTCAATTGAATATATTGTAAAATTGTTGAGCATTCTCTGAAAATTACATCAACTGGCTCTGTGCAAAAATAGTCTAAAAAGCTTTGTATCCCCCACACAGCTCTAGGCTTCCATAAATGGTATGGAATACGAAATGTGATCTCCAAAACTGAGAAAAGAGTTTCACTGTACTCGGTTCTATGGTACAATACCATGGTATTAGGTCATCTTGCACATTACAGAAGCAAAAGGTAATAAGCAGAATTGTCCAAATTGGCTAGAATTTTATTTATATTTGACAATCTGTTCTACATTTACCATTGTAAAGTACGTGAAATGAGCAAGTCATTAAAGTTGAGAATGGTGAATAAACCTACGTGACCTATGAAAAATATTACAAAATATAATCCTGATATATTTATAATATCTAATACCCTTGTAATTACTTAAATTTATGCTAATAATAGGACATATTTCTGCTTTTGTTCTTAATCATATATTACTATAGACACAAGAAAAATGAGATTATTAATTGAAATGGAAGTTGATTCAGAAAACATACCTGTCCAGCAATGAACTTGGCAGGGAGTAAATACTAAGTATTCAAAAGCTTTTTAAAGAAAAAATAATTTTACCTATTTTCTACATTTATATAATGTAGTGTGCATTTATTAATATTAAATAGTACTACTTTACACAAAAAGCAAGGCAAAGATCTTCACTGCAGTTAAAGCCAAGAAAATGGAGATTGGAGGAACTTAGATATCTTGTTTTTTCATTCATTAATTTTATTGGTACATTTTAGGTACGCAATATGCTGACATTCATTATTGGGAATTTGAACCTTTATATAACATACCTTGAATCTTCTTTTCTCCCCATAGAACCCCTCCATCACCCCCTATTTACAAAGACTTTGTTTCCATTTTTTCCTTTTTTCATATTTATTCCTTTCCCTTCTTTTCTTTTCCCTACTCCTTCCTGTTCCCCTTCCCCTTTGGACCTTTTCTTCCTATTTCAAGTTGTCTATTATACATTTTGATCCTTATTTACACTTTCAGTTTCTCACACCGGAGAAACTTTTTGGTAATTACACACGTGTATCCTATTTATTTCACTTAAGAATTGGCCTCAATACTCATCCATTTAGCTATAAATGTTTTCAGTTTCTCATTCCTTAAGGCGGAGTACCCCATTTTATTGAAAATCCACATATGATTTGTCCAGACTCCGTTTGATGGGCAATTGGGCTGTTTCTAAGCTTTAGCTATTACAAACTGTGCTGCTATGAACACGGGTGTGCATATACCGCTACCGCTGTGGTGTGATTGATTGATTGATTGATTTATTTATTTTTGGCACCAGCGATTGAAGTTAGGTTTTTGCATTTGCAAGGTAGGTGACAGAACCACTGAGCTACAGCCTCTGATTCTTTTATTTCTTTTGGAAAGATATCTAGCAGGGGGAACAGCTGGGTCAAATGGGACCTCTAATCCTAGTTTCCTGAGGAATCTCCTTGTTGATTTGCACAGTGGTTGAAACAGTCTACATTCCCACCAACTGTGAAGTGTTCCTTTTTTCTCCCACAGCTCTGTCAGTACTTATTGGTTGATTTCTTTATGGCAGCCATTTTTTTCTGGGGTGAGTTTGAATCTCAGTGTTATTTTCATCTGCATCTCTCAAGTGACCAGTGATGTTGAACAAATTTTCATATGTTTATTTGCTCTTTCTACTTCTTTGTCTGAAAAATGCCTGTTCATTTCAGATTTCCATTTTGGGATTGGGTCGTTAAATTTGGGAGATCTGATTTTTAAAAGATATATA